GGGAAGCACTAGGACTCTAAGCCAGCCTGAGGCCCGAGTGTGAAGGTGTGTCTCTGGGCTACTGGATGCTGCAGAAGCCACAGCCACAGTGAACTCGCTCTTCCTCCTCCTCAGTGACCTACTTCACTCCAGCCTGAGACAGTAAGCTCTTTGAAGTTAAAATAAGCCAATCTATTTTAGGCTTTGTAGCAGACATTGGGAGATCTCAAGTTCTGTTGAGGTCAAATGGTTTTCACATGGACCCTGATAAGCCCTTGGCTTCTTACTTCCCAAGGGCTGGCAGTGTATTTCAGTGACACCTTCGCTAGGCTCAGATGTGAGGTGGCTGAAACCTAATCTGTCTTCAGACAGTCCCCCGACAGCCGCGGAGTGCTTGAGAGACGCCACTGCTTGCTGGGTGTCTGAGCGCTGCCCCAGAGAAAGACATTCATACCATGGGGTGTGTGCAGATGGGATCTTGCTGCATGGGCTGGATCTAGACTTGCCAGTGGAGAGCTCTGCTAAGGGGAGCAAGCTCTGGAACATTCCACGTTTTCCACCAATGGAAGAAGAGAGCTGGTTATGTAGTCAGGGCATCACTTCTGACACAGTTTAATTCATTAAAGGCACATAATTGTGGTTGCCAAACATTTTCTGCTTGCCCTCATCCAGCTTTTGCGTGCTATAAGCCCAGCCCCATGAATTGCAGGCTGGAGAAATGCAGAGGAGGCAGGGAAACAGAGACAGAATTCTAGATAAATCACGTCCGCAGCCCCTATGAAAATCCTTGCTATCCAATAAAAATAGAATGTGAGCAACATAAGTAATTTTAGATTGTCTAGTAGCCACATTAAAAACAAATGTTAGGGGATCCCTGGGTGGCTCAGCGGTTTAGCGCCTGCATTTGGCCCAGGGCGTGATCCTGGAGTCCCGGGATCGAGGCCCGCATTGGGCTCCTGGCATGCAGCCTGATTCTCCCTCCTCCTGTGTCTCTGTCTCTTTCTCTCTCTCTATGTCTATCATAAATAAATAAATAAATAAATTTTAAAAAAAAATCTTTAAAAAAATAAAAATAAAAATAAAAATAAAAACAAATGTTAAATGATGCCTTGAAAATCTGTAAGTGTCCTGTTTATATCAAAGAGTTTGTCCCCAAACAAAACAAATTTGTGGTGCTCTAACTGGTGTCTCATTCTGGATCCTCCCTGGTAAGAAAATATCTGTTGTCCCAGGAATAGATTTGGGGAACTAACGTAGAACTTTCTTTTCCCTACAAAGACTCGTCGTGTCTCAAAGAATACCTTTTTTTAAAAAGATTTTTATTTATTCTTATTCATGAGACACATACACAGAGAGGCAGAGACACAGGCAGAGGGAGAAACAGGCTCCCTGTGGGGCGCCTCATGCAGGACTCAATCCCAGGACCCCAGGATCACACCCCAAGCCCAAGGCAGATGTTCAACCACTGAGCTACCCAGGTGTCCCTCAAAGAATACCTAACTTAACAGCAGTTCCCTGCTTTGCAAATTTATTCTCCCTGAATCAAGATCAATTATTTGGAACTTCTGAGTACAAACCATTTACGTAGCTGACTCTCTCATTCCCCACAACAACCAGTCTGGGTTCTTTCTCTCTCCTCTCTCTCTCTCTTCCCCTCCCCTTGCCTCTCTTCTTTTCTTCTCTCTCCTTTCTCCTGTTCTTGGTTTAGTCCTTCCAGGGCAGGGCTAACCTGACTGCAGCATTTTTGCTTCTCTGGCATATATAATTAGTTCCGAAGATGGGAAAGCCATGTGGTTTGTAGATTTGGCCGGGCCCGCGGTGTCTGGAATGTGTGCACTTGAGCATGATGTGAAGACCATTTCCTCCAGGCTAACTCATTCCATCCAAAGAGCGAGAAAAATGAAGCAAAGTTTTCAAACCAGGAGTCTCTCTGTTTAAAACTCAATTGCATTTATTTATTTTTACCAAGTAATTACTTTACATTTCAACCTCATTTTGGCATGTTTGACATCAAGGCATGTAGTGACTCCCATACAGTTTAAGATCATCCAGCATACCAGACTTTCTCCAGGAAATAAAATCCCTTTACAGAGTTTGCCATTACAACCCAGCTCTGTGCCTGTGTCATGGATGTGGGTTTGATAGCCAGCTGTGCTCAGTGACATCAGGTCAGTGAATCAAGCTAAGACCTGTGATATCCGCAGAGCATGTTCTTGAAAATCCAACGAAGGCAAATCTGCCAGATTTACCTTCTAATTGTCTGCCGACACTGACATTCCAAATCACAATTTAGGAGAAAGAAGTCCATTCAAAGAGCTAAGAGCCGAGGGAGAAAAAGACTGATGGTATGACCTCCGAATTCAAGATTATCGTCCCACTGATGGGATATGAGTTTACTTGGTGTTTGTGCCACCCAACCGTGTGAGCATGTGCATGCATCTGATTGAACCCAGGCACAAGTCCTTGAAAATGATTGTGACACTCTAACCCAACCCTATTCTTCCAGCACTCTGCAATATTTCCTATTTGTTTTAACCTGTAGGAAGAAGGAGGATTTGCAGATGATAGTGCCATTTCTAATCTGCTTTGGGTAAGCCTGACTCTAACATAGGTGTCCTCTAGATTACAGCCACACTTCTACTGAGCCATGTGTAATTCTCATCAGTGGTGGTTCCCTTTTAAGCTCTTGCTGTTTGGTTTCTTACCTGGAGGTCAGATGCCACCTCTACGCAGAGTAGAGAACTATCCTGCTTCTTTAATTTTTTTTTAATCATATAATGATGAACTTTAAAGACTTTAAATGAAAGATTTTATGTTGAATGCTGAAACTGTTGACAAAAGTCACGGTTCCCCTCTCTGTAACTGAATATCATAGAAATTGCAGTAATCTTGTCATTAACTCATGTAATTACCGCATAGAACTGACTCAGATATATTTACTGTGCTTGTGTGGATTTCTGTTAGCACTCTAAGAAAACAAACAAATAGGAAGGACTGTCTCAAAAAGAGAACTGAAATTGCAATGAGAAAATTAACATTCTGGTTGAGAAATCCTGTATTTGTCTCTACTCCTCCCCACCCAGCTCTGATAAACCTTCTCTTTTCACCTCTAATCCTCTTGCTTTGCTCTATAGGAACCTGTATATGCTTCTACTTATTCTCCTGCTATACCTGCTGCCCATAAACACCTGTCTTTTGTATCTATTAATCAGGTGAGGAAATGCCTACACATTTTAAGCCTCATTGCAATTTCTGAGCAGTAGGGAAGAACTTGTTTCCTTTGGGGAAATAACTACTTTGCTGCATTTCAGTGTGTGTGTGTGTGTGTGTGTGTGTGTGATCAGTTTTTCATATATTTAGAGTCAGTCACACGCATTCCATCCTTGGATCAGACTTTGAGGTAGACTTGATGGCATTAATTCACCTTGTAATCATGAAACTGGGTCTAGAGGAAAATTTCCCCCTTTAATGTCCAAGCTTTATATCCTAAGGGAAGTCGGAAGCCCAAGGATACACCAGAGTTCCTGCCCCCGCTCAGGGACAGTGCTATCTTGCTTAGCTCGATGAAGGAAGATGTGGTAGAGATAGATGGGTGTGGTTTGGTTGGAGAGGAAGATACAGCAAGGAAGAGACCATTCAGACAGGAGCTTGCAGTGATTTTCTGGGATGAGAAACCACAGACCCCCTGCCCCTTAGTCTCTGTCTTCACTGTACCTCACCTGAACCCCAGCCCAGAAAGGGAGACCTGGCTTGGGCTGAATAATTCAGTTGGTGCATACATAATACATGATCATATTTAAAGCTCCAAGTACCAGTGATTGTTTTTTACTCCCCTTGGAATGTCCCTGGTGTCAAAATAGCCATGAGAAGTGCCTATATCCAATTCATCATAAGTCCCAAATTCTAGCCTCCCTCCAGCTGAGGGACCTTAACCTAGTCATTTCCCTCTGAGCGCCTCTGTCTCCTCAGCAGAGCTGGGACTTTCTTACCTCCAAGGTGAGCTCTAACTAAAGATGTCATGACTATACTGTTCCTTTAGGACTAGGTGGTGACCAAACAAGTCTTTGAGTGAGAGGTACTGAGACCTCATTTCAAATATGAAATTGACAGAGTGCTGTCATAGAGAGCAGAGAGAGCACCCCCTCCTACTTCATCTATATCTTCACCATGGAAACTCACTGCATTTCTCCCTAAGGCAGCCTCTCCCCTCACTCGCCTGGGGTCCTCTGAAGCCCAGCCCTACCCAGACAGCAGTAGCCACCCTCAAAAACAGGCTGAAATCTGGAGAGCACTTGCTATTCTATTGCCAAGGGGGTTGGGGTCGGGGGTGAATGGGTTGTTTCTTCTAAATAAGTCCTATTAAACTTGAAAACACAAGATCTATTATCGAAGTCTTTAAATAAAAATTATATTTATTATATAGACACACACACATATATACATACTTTTAATAAGCTTTATTTTTTTTAAAGGAGTTTTTGATTCACAGCAAAATTGAGCCAAAAGTATAGAGATTTCCCATATACCTTCTGGCCCCCTCCCACACACATATTTAACCTTCCCCTACTACCAACATCCCACACCAGAGTGGTCCATTTGTTAAACTTGTTGAACCTACATTGACAAATCATCAGTGCCCAATGTCCATAGTTTATATTTGGGGTCACTCATGATGCACATTCTCCAGATTTTGACAAATGTGTAATGATATGTATCCATCCTTATAGTATCATATAGACTAGTCTAACTGCCCTAAAAACCTATGCACCCCATCTATTTATACCTCCCTCCCTCCCTCTAATCCTTGGCAATTTCTTTACTGTTTCGATGGTTTTGTCTTTTCCAAAATGTCATATAGCTGGAATCCTGTAGCATGTACCCTTTTCAGATTGGCTTCTTTCACTGTGTCATACGTACTTAAGGATCCTCTTTGTCTTTTCATGACTTGACAACTTCTTTCTTTTTAGTGCTGAATAATATTCTCTCTCCAGATTATATCAACCACAGTTTTTGTTTGTTTTAAAAATATGAAACACTTTATGAATTTGTGTGTCATTCTTGTGCAAGAGGCCATGCTAATCTCCGTATCATTCCAATTTTAGTATACGTGCTGCTGAAGCAAGCACGTACCACAGTTTATTTATCCATTTGCTTACTGAAGGGCATCTTGGTTGCTTCCAAGTTTTGGCAATTATAAATAAAGCTGCTATAAATATCCGTATGCAGGTTTTTGTGTATACCTTTTCAACTCATTTGGATATCAAGGAGCGTATGTTAAGAGTATGTGTAGTTTTGTCAGAAACTGCCAAACTGTCTTGCAAGGTGACTGTACCAAAGTGCATTCCCACCAGCAAAAAATAAGAGTGCCTGTTGCTGCACATCCTCACCAGCATTTGGTGTTGTCGGTGTTCTGGATTTTGGCTATTCTAATGGGTGTATGGTGGTACCTCATTGTTGTCTGAATTTGCAGTTCCCTAATGACAAGTGATATGGAACACCTGTTTATGTGCTTATTTGCCACACATATGTCTTCTCTGGTGAGATGTCTGTTCAGATCTTCGTCCATTTTTTAATTGGTTGTTTTCTTCTGGTTTTAAGAGTTCTTTGTACATTTTGGATAACATTTCTTTATCAGATGTGTCTTTTGCAAATATTTTCTCTCAGTCCGTGGCTTGACTTCTCATTCTCTTGACAGTGTGTTCATAGAGCAAAGGCTTTCCTATTTCAATGAATTTCAATTTATCAGTTCTTTCTTTCATTAGTGATTTATCTAAAAAGTCATCACTGAATTCCGGGTAACCTAGGTTTCTCTTCTATGCTATCTGCTATAAACTTGTCATTTTATATTTGGATTTATGATCCACCTTGAGTTACTTTTTGTGAAAGGTGTAAAGTCTGTGTCTAGATTCTTTTTTTTTTTTCTTGGTAGTGGATATCTAGTTGTTCCAGCACAATCTGTTGAAAAGACTGTCTTATGTTCATTGTATTTCCTTGGATCTTTCAAAGTTAGTTGAGTATATTTGTATATTTCTGGGCTCCCAATTTTGTTCTCTTGATCTATTAATATGATTTTTCCACTAATACCACACTTTCTTGATTGTAGCTTGACTGTAGCTTCGTAGTAAGTCTTATAGTCGGATAGTGTCAGTCCTCCAACTTCAGTCTTCTCCTTCAATATTGTTTTGGCTATTCTAGGTCTTTTCCCCTCTCCATATAAACGTTAGAATCAGTTCATCAGTATCCACAAAGTAACTTGCTGAGATTTTAATTGAAATTTCACTAAGTCTGTAGATCGCATTGGAAAGAACTGGCATCTTGACAGTATTGCAGCTTCCAATCCATGAACATGGAATATCTCTTCACACATTTTTAAATTTAAAGAAAAATTTAAAGGTAGTTTATGATTAACTGCTTCAAAATTAAAGTAGCTTTAAAATTCTATATTTTTATATCTTGACAACTTTCCCAGGTATTTTATGTACTAGCCTTTGTAGCACTAGCTCGTCGGTGTTCTCGGAGACTCCTTACCTCCTGCAGTCCTGGTATCCGTGTTCGCTAATGCAGAGGCTCAGGAAAGAAAACAGAGCATTACAACAGGACATATGTTCTGTTGAAATGGACTGTTTGTCTCTTTGTTGGGCTTTAACATGCATTTCCTTCTTCCCCACGTGCCTCATGACTCTTCCAGAGTAAGATTTCCCTGAATTCCCCTCTCTTCATCTTAATTGCTAGTAGATGGTGGCAGGACCAGATTATGGTTAGTTTGAGGGCTAAGCCTAGTTAAGATCTTTCTTCATGTTTTCTTCAGGCCATCTAAGGCTGTGTGCACTGACAAGGGAGTGAAGTCACTGAAGGATGGGGCAAAGCCACATTTCTTTAACAGTATACAGAATTCTAAATGGCGGTAGCATTTTTGAAAAGCAGAAATAAAGTGACTAACTTGTCACTTTATTTCTACTACTTAATCTATGCTCTTACAATTTCTTTAGCTTAAGTAGACATGAATAAAATAAAAATTTTAAAGCCAGATCACAGTATTCTCTATCCATGAAGCTCTCCAGTTGTGGAAGAATTTTACCCTTAAATCTGTACTAATCCTAGTGAAGCATGTTAGATTTGCTCTCTCTTCTCATATCACTTCTCTGTGTCAGCAACATGTGGGAGGATTTGCAGTATGCATTCTCAGTGGGTAGACAGAAGCAAACCCATCAGTGACAATGCAGGAACCTGAAAACACTCTTGCGGATTGATCTGTGGCCTAACTTCATACTGTGTCCTACCAAGTCTCTCTCCATCCCTAAGACCTGCCTTTCTTCCCAGCTATTTCACTGCCTTATACACAGACACATACATACACACTCTTATTCCTTCCCCTTGCTGTCTCCATTTCTCTATACCACATTCATGGGCTCAGCATTTGAAACAGATGGGGTAGGACTTCTTCATTTCCTGTCCCAACTTCCTTACTATTCTAGTCAATCTTAAACATCATTAGCTAATGCTGGACAAGCCTGGAAAATGGCATGGTACTTATTATGATATATACTACATCCTTCTCTAAACAAGGAAAGAAAAACTAAGAAGGGAAAAACAAGACAATAATGAAATTTAAAGCTAAAAAAAAAGTCAATGGGCAAACATGTGTTTCTTGTTCTCACATTTTGAGTTCAGAAATTAAATAGCAGCTTGTGAGAAATTGTATTAATCTTTTCAGTGGATAAATAAGCTGCATATTTCTCACCCCAGTGTAGAGCCACCTGAAGTCAGATAAAGGAGTTAGAGGCCCTAAACCAAGTTCACTAAGTTGTCAAGTTAGGATAGAGAAGCAAAAACTTGCATGTTTGATATTATGCTTGAGAGGGGAGTAAAAAAATATTCCTTGACAAACATCTGGCAGACTACTGGAAGCTTTCAGGCCTGTAACAGCTGTATCATTCCTGGGCTCACAGCTTCAACGTCCTTGCAGGAGCTCCAGGGGAATCTGAGTGCTTTGGGAAATGGAGTTGTGGATTTAGGGATTCCTAAATTGTTGTGGATTTTTTTGATTCATGAACCACACCCCACCACCACACCCAGGACTTTGGAGATACATTACCAAGCTCACCAGAACTAGGGGTGTCTGAGATTTTTGGAGAAGCAAGCTTCCTTGGCACTTTATAATGTTTTTATCAAAATATTTTAAGCTAAGTGCTGTATTGATTGGATTAAAATTCACTCCTGAAATTTCATTTTAAAAACAAAATGTATTATCTTTTTTTGAATTTTGATGAGGTCTTCCTGGCAAGTCAACCTCAGAGTTTATTTAATAAGGGCATATGATTCAGAGAGTTACTTGGAATTAGGGTCATCTCACCAATCATGAGTGGGAAGGTAAAGTAAAAGGGTTTTTAACTTTGGAATAATATTTTAATTTGATAAAATTTAAAACTTATAAAAAAGGTGCCGTGATAGGGCTCTCTCATATACCCTTTACCAGAGCCACTGACCGTTGGCGTTCAGTGGCCACCCGGCTGCTGTCTCCTCTTCCCTCAACCCTGCCCCCTCCTCTGCTGCTCTCCCCCTCCCCACTCCTGTCTTATGTACATGTATATGATATGTAGAGTTGGGGCTCCCCTCTAACAGAACACCATAGGCTGAATGGCTTATAAACAACAGAAATTGACTTCTCACAGGGCTGGAGGCTGAAAGTTCAAGACCAAGGCACCAGTAGATTCTGTGTCTTGTGAGAGCCTGCTTGCTGTTTTTAGAGGACCATCTGCTTACCGTATCCTTACATGGTGCGAGGAGCAGGGGAGCTCTCTGGGGTGTCCTTTATGAGGGCGTTCCTCCTCTTTAGGAGGGCTCCACCTTCCTGACTTAACACCTCCCAAAGGCCTCACCTCCTCATACATCACACTGGGGATTAAGTTTCAACATAATGAAATTTGGGGCCTGCAAACATTCAGTCTAGAGCACTTCCGTAAGCACGATACAGTCATCAAGATGAGGAAAGGTAACATTGATGCAATGTCTCATGCACAGTCCATTTCCAGCTGTGTTAGTCCCCCTCCCCTCCCACAAGCTATGTCTCATTTAGCTCCCGCCCCACCCCATCTAGGATTCAGGCCAGGGTTGGGCCTTGCCTTCAGTTGCCATGTCTCTTCAGGAAAAAAGGTTTTAACCTAATTTAAATTTTTTTTAAAGATTTTATTTATTTATTCATAGAGACACACAGAGAGAGAGAGAGGCAGAGACACAGGCAGAGGGAGAAGCAGGCTCCACCCAGGGAGCCTGACATGGGACTCGATCACGGTCTCCAGGATCACACCCCAGGCTGCAGGTGGCGCCAAACCGCTGTGCCACCGGGGCTGCCCCCTAATTTAAATTATTACCAAAGATCTCAAAATCTGTTCTGGCTGCAATTACTCTGTAGAATTCTGTAAAAGATTCATGAACTAGATGATGGAGAAGTCCATGCTCATGGCTTAAAACCCAAATGTGGTCAGGACAGATGTGGGAAGGAGAGAAGGAGCTCTCTTCTGTATCACCCTCCATCATCCCAGTGCTTTCAGAAGATAAACTTTGCTTATCTCTACTTTCTTGCTGAATGAATCTAGAAGGTTTTTTCCTGTTGGTCAGTTACAGGAAGTCAATTGGATAGACAGTGGGGAGGAACAGAATCAGAGGTGCTTCCCTCAGGGTTCTCCTGAACTTCTGACTGTTGTCAGTGGAAGGTCTATGATCACCTTGATCTCTGTTGCTTCTTATCCAAAGAAAAACTGAACTAGGGAGGTGGAGCTGGGGCACCTGCCAGAAGAGGTTAAGGCGAGCTCACCAGTAGTTTGAAAGCAAAGTCCCAGCAGGAATGGCCCACCTCAGGTCTGAGAAAGGGCTCAGGTTAAAGCCAAAGCACAAAGCCAGGAGTCCACACCAGCTTCAGAGCCCCAGTCATCAGGGCAACCTTGGGGTGGACAGCCAAGCACATGAGGGAAGCTCCTTCTCCTCGGGGCAGAGGCTCTTCCTCTCTTCCTTCCTTAGCACTCGCTCCTGTGGCACCTGCCACTTGATAAATTTTAATTCTATCAAAATTAAAAATTATCAAAAAATATAAAAACTCTTTTAATTTCTATCCTCATGATTTGTGCCT